AGCCCCGGCCGGTCTCGGCCTCCTGCGTTGGCTTCGCTCCAGGTTGGCAGCACACGAGGCTGAAAGAAACACGGCGGGGAGTGGAGGAAGGACCGCGAAGCGCTGCGGATGCACGAGGTCACTGTCCCCGGCACAGACTGGGGGCTGGGAACAGCTGGGCCAGCGCTCCTGCTCTTCGACGTTTCCAGTGATGGAGACTCCACAGCGTCTCTAAGTGCCTGTTTCAAGGCTTCGCCACCCTCATCTCCAGCACCAGCCCTGCCGGGACCCTCCGTGCTGGAGGAACAGAGGAAAACCCTCCTCCGACCCGGGCGCTTGCCCTCCGGCTCCGCTCTCTGCCCCAGGACATGGGAGATGGGGCAGGACGGGCCTGGGGTGTCCCCCAGGAAATGGCAGCTCTGATACTTCTTGTGCCCCATGTGCAGGACGTTGCACTTCACCTTGTTGACTCTCTTCTCAGTGCCCACGGGCCGTTTCTGCAGTCTCTGCAGGTCCTGGTCCCTCCCAGCCCAGCAGCTCAATGATTTCTATGGTGGTACTGCTGCCATCCGCCAAACTGCTGGAGAAACCCAGGGGATTCCAAGGATCACCCCAAAAACCCAACCCCTGGTCACCGCAGAGCCCCCTGCCCCGGACCCTGTTGCCCTGATCTGGTTTCTGCACTGCCGACTTGTCCAGTCCTTGTTCCTCCTCCCTTCAAACCTCCCTGGAAGTCGTATCAGGTGCATCTCCACCAGCCCGGATCCTCTCTGCTCCTTGTACTTTGGGCAACCCATCTCTGGTGCTCTCTTCCAGGAGGCAGAGGGAAGTGGGAGAGAAGCAGAGACCTTGTTCACCTAAACAATCATAGGATCCTAGAGCCACAGGGCCTGCAGTGTGCTGTGCTGTCGCATCCAGTCCTAAGGCAGGATTGGCCCCGTGCAAACCCATCGCTGCTCCTCGACCCTCCTGCACAGCACCCTTCCAGCCTCTCCTTGCACCCTCCCGTGCTGCAGGGTCCCCCGGCCTGAGCGTCTCCTCGTGGCTGCCCTGCTTGGGTCATGCAGAGGTGTCTCTTGGTAAATATTCCCTGTCTGGGGCTCTTGAAACCCAAAGTTTCCCTTCCCGCAGGTGCCCCCAGCTCAGCTCAGCTCAGCAGACGTCTGCAGGACAACACAGCTCTCCCTTCCCTGCTTCTGGATGGGCCAAGGGGGTAACGCTGCTGCCTCCTGCTTGGGTTCGGAGACACCCAAAGCTTCCAGTGCCATTACCTGCATATTGACCCACAGCCGTTCTGGAGCCGGAGTCGGCTGGGCGCAGGTCTTTGGAAGGTGCCCCGCTCCCGGGGCCCTTTCTCCTGCTTTATTCTTCCTGGACAGATTAGATGCAGCGCTGGCCGCATGCCAACCCTCCCTCTTGGTTTCACAAGCAAGGCCGGGCCTATTGCAGGTGAGATCTTCTCCCTCTGGATTTCAGCCCTTGCCAAGATTTCCTGTGTTCTGTGCTGCCGGAGGAGGTGCCTCCCCTGGTACACCGCGTGTCCATTCCCTGGGCACAGTCTTGGGGCTGGAAAAGCTCACACACGAGCCTCAGATCCATGCCAACATACCATGGCTGCAGGCACAGCCTCTTCCAACCTTCCTGTGCTTCACGACAGCTCATCACCTCCTTTTCCAGAGCACCTACGAGCAGCCCTGAACTTGAGAGGGCCTGGTCGGGCCACACTGCTTGAGAAGCACAGAAAGAGGCAGTTCAGGAGTGCAAGCAGCCGTCCAGAGTCACGGACTCATAAAACGAGGGTGAGAAGGGACCTCGGGAGGTCACATCTAGTCCAACCCCTGCTCCAAGCAGGACCAGCCCCAGCTACATCATCCCAGCCAGGGCTTGGTCTACCCGGGTCTTAAACACCTCCAAGGATGGAGACTGCACCACCTCTCTGGGGAACCTGCTCTAGTGCTTTACTACCCTCTAGTAAGATTTTTTTTCCTAATATCCAACCTCAACTTCCCTTGCTGCTCCTTGTCCTGTCATCTGCCCCCAGTGAGAACAGCCCGGCTCCAACCTCTTTGCAGCCCCCCTGCAGGGAGGTGACGGCTGCTATTCAATCCCCCTCAGTCTTCTCTTCTGCAACTAAATCAGCCCAGGTCCCTCAGCCTCCCCTCACCAGTCCTGTCCCCCAGCCCACCACCATTTTCATCGCCCTCCACTGGACTGTCTCCAATGTGTCCACATCCTTTCTGTCGTGGGGCCCACAGCTGGACACAGGACTCCAGATGTGGCCTCCCCAGTGCTGAACAGAGGGGAAGAATCACTGCCCTTGATCTGCTGGCACCGCTCCTACCCATGCAGCCCAGGATGCCGGTTGCCTTCCTGGCACAAGGACACACTGCTGGCTCCTGTCCAGCTTCTTGTCCCCCGTCCCCCCAGGACCTTTCCTGCAGAGCTGCTGCCCAGCCCGTCACCCCCCCAGCCTGCCCCAGTGCAGGGGATCGCTCCCTCCTCAGTGCAGCACTTTGCACTTGTCCTTGTTGAACCTCAGGAGATTTCTTTTGGCCAACCCTCCAATCTGTCCAGGTCACTCTGAATCTCAGCCCTTCCCTCCAGCGTATCTACTACTCCCCCCAGCTTGGGGTCATCTGCAAACTTGCTGTGGGTGCGCTCCACCCCACCTTCCTTCCACATTGTTGATGAAGATATTGAGCAGATATCTCCATGATGCATGGAGCAGAGAGGAAGAGGAGGGTGCAACCAGCACAACCCAGCAGCTGGGACAACCCCATAGCAGAGCACAGGCATTGCAACACCTAGTTTACCCCACGTCCGGTGACGGCCCAGCCTGTCCTTGAACCCTCCAGACCTACCGCAAAGGACCTTGGCAGGAGCAGGCTTCCCTGATGGCTGAATGACCTAACAAAAAAGGCAGTTTGCAAAAGCACTGATCAGAGAGAACAGGGGGAGAAAACAACCCAGTAGCTGTACAAATGGAGAAGGACAAAGACATGGCTTGGAAAGCAGGGATAACAAGAGGCAAGCTGTAGCGAGGGGCACCCCGACTCCGAAAGCGGGGGCGCTGGTAGTGTGGGTTGCACGTCCTGTGCCGTTACTGCTGTCTGGGTGTTTTCGCTGAGCCGGGCCAATGGCTAGAGAGCCTCGCTAGCGCCCTGCCCCTGGCCTAAGAGACAATGACCTTTTTGGAGCTTTTCCCACCAAATACGCTTGCAATCGTTCTGCATCTCACCCGAGCTGCAGGAGCCAAGTAGCAGACAACGGAGCCCAGGGACCTGCCTGAACCCAGAGAGGCAGCACAGAGGAGGGTGGGGGACACTCCCACGGGACCCGCGTGCCTCAGATCAAAGCAGCAGGAAACGCATGGAGCCGGCACCGGGCCCTGCAGAGGTCTGGCACGCTGGGCAGATCTGGGATTTCAAGAAGTGGGGTGCACAGAACAGGAGGCACGGTTTTCTCCTGTCAGAGAGCACCCAGAAGCTTTCCTAACAGATCAGGGGCTCGGCATTGGAGACCAAAGCAAAAAACAAGTCGAACTTTATTGGCACACGCACTTATTTGCTAAAATATTACGTTTAAGAAAAAAAAAAAAAAAAGTCGAAAGAGTCACAAGATCTGGTGTGATTAGCCCTGTAGTCTACAGCTCCACGTACATCTCTTACTCAAATCCGTGAGGCAAAATCTAGCTTTCTTGATAAGGCCCCTAATACTTCACTGTGGGTGCATCTACATGAGACGCGAACTGCGGAGTAGCCTCATAACACTGTGCAGGAACGTGCGGGACAAATACCACACTAATCTGCCACTGTGCAGTAGTATTAGGCTACTTCACTGTAAACCCGTGTGCCAGCACTACTGCGCAGTAGTGTGAGTTACTGCCCGTTGACCTCGAACTCGGTTCTCCAAGTACTAAGCTTAAGTGCAGTAACTACGATGCATTAACGACTGCAAACGCGCCAAGCGAGTCATGGCTTCTCCCGACTGGAGCTTGTTGGCTAGAGTCTACGGGGCTGGCAGAGAGACGAGCAGGGAGGGCTGGGACAGGCGCCTCCAGCAGGAAGGGTAGTTTGGAGGGTGGAATATCAAGAGCGTTAAAAAGGAGAGAGGGCGGCTCACGCCTGCAGAACAGGAGATACCAGCAGGAACGGGGAGATGATAATGAGCCGGCATGTCATGAGCTGATGCAAAATAAGGGTTGGGAGGGAGCTCAGGAGGTCGCATCTAGTCCAAGCCTCTACTCCAAGCTACATCATCCCAGACAAGGCTTTGCTCCTTGTCCTGCCATCTGCCCCCGCTGAGAACAGCCCAGCTCCATCCTCTTTGCAGCCCCCCTGCAGGGAGGTGAAGCTGCTATTCAATCCCCCTCAGTCTTCTCTTCTCCAGACTCAATCAGCCCAGTTCCCTCAGCCGGTCCTCCCACATCACTGTTACACCTGCGCTGCAGGTAGGCTGGAGGTAGCTGGGCCGCAGCCATGAGTGAGACCTCAGACCGTACAGGATGCATTGATTTACTGACAGATGAAACACAGCAAAATGAAATGGTTATATGCAGGTTATTTCCAGGTCTCGCTGCAGTCAGCCAAGACTTGTCCTATTCCAGATAGAGATATTTCCTTCTTTTGTGGCCAGCCCAGACCTCCACGTGACTCCCGACCATGTCCTAAATCTATGCTGCCTCAAGCATCCTGGTAGTCTGCAATCGATCGTATCTGTGCTATTACAGTTTGTTCCGTGTGTGTGTTCCTCTCTCTTCACTACTGTGGATAGGTCCCGACATATCCCCTCCGTGCTAGGGCTCAATGCTGGCTTCAAATCGTGTTGCTATTTCTAATACCCTGGGCGCATCTACACGTGCACACTTACTGCACAGCAACCAAAATGACCGTGCTGTATGGGTGCGTGTCTACACATGCACACCATTACTGCACGGTAAATATGGCAACTTCCACTGACTCGTGTGTAAATGTGATCCCCGTGTCCTGCAAGTATCAAATCAACGCCCGATTAGTTACTGCGCAGTCACGCTGTGTGTGTGTGGACTGAGCCTGATGATGAAGGGCGTTGGAGCCGGAAAGCTTGGAGAAAAAGATACTTTTGCAATTTCGTCGTTGGGCGAAGGAAAGGTATCATCTCTGCACCGGCATCAGCTCTGCAAAAAGCAGCCGGGTCTTTGCCCTTGTCCCGCCTGACCCCCAGGCCAGGGGCTTTCTCGTGCTCCAGCCTCCAGGTGCCCGGGCTCTGCCATCCTCCCTGCCCCCCGCGCAGGGCACCGGGTCGGTGTGCAGGGGCGGATCCTGCCGCGGGCTGGCCCTGGCCCCGGCCCCGCGGCCCCGGGA